TTTAGTTCATATATTTTAAAACATAATTCAGTCAGTTGTTGCGGTCTTAACACATTTGGCCCAGCAAATTTCCTTTACTTATGTAAGAATGTACAAAGGTGAAAGTAAAGTTATCATTGACGTTATTACAAAGAATCTGGTTTTACATAAACTGATGAAAACATCTTTCTTACATGAACATATATATAGCTACATAGCCATGTTATCTTAAAAAAAATCTATTCAATTCACCTATTAGTGATAGCTTGAAGAGTTTCTTTTCCAAGGGAACTACAAACATGAGGACGGGGTGCTCAATTCAGTTCACTTCACTATATCTCAATATCAATAGCACAGTGGTTAAAGCGTTCGTTCCTCATGCCAAGCACCCGGGTTCGATTCCCCATGTCTCCTATTCTCGCAGGTTTTCTATTCTCGCGGTAAACACGTTTTCTGCCGAGATCGCCGATGCGCGACACCTAGCGGTTGTTTACCTTGCCAACTAGTAACTAGGAAGTGGCCCACAAATCTGCGAGAGATCAAAGTCTTGCAATGTCACAAATATTGGTGAGTTTATCTACCAACTTGGACCTATCATAACTTTTTTCCACCGTTTCCAACACTCCATAACATGACTTCCTCATTGTAACGCAAGAATGGGAGAAGACTCATTTTTCGTCAATGACGGAATGCATTGCTTATCACCGGGTTCACGAGTGGTAATTCACCTGATGGATCTAGCAGATAGATGCGGATGTTAGAGGAGAAGGCCCTTCATTTAAAAACAACAAGCATTCATATGGTAAGAATTGTTTGCGTTTCAGCCGATATCCATAAGTACCACGAGAATAGGAAACGCCTTCTTACAATTTGTGAAGACCATTTCTGGTATCCCCCTGCATTAAAGTGACTTAAAACTGAAACTCTCTCGCTTGCTCGCTCGCTCGCTTGCTGTCAATGTCAATACTGCATTTTGCATTGAAATTATTTACCACAAATGTGTTCATGGGGCTGCATATTCATCCTTTCTAAAGTGGATCCTCGACTGTGATATAAGTCCAGGGTTATGTGCGTTATGTTTAGGTATATTTGATAATTTAGGTGTTTCTCATATTCACCTTACTTGTGAAGTATCAAGAAAAATAGTGATAGATTTTTTAAGAAAACAGCATCGAAATATACAAGGATACGCTAAATTATAAGTCCCAAAGTCGTCTATTTTGTTTTTTTAATGAAACACCCGGTTTACCTAATTAAACAAGTGGATGACCTCTTTAGATTCAGGCGGGCAATATAAGGTTTGGAAATTCATTCCCATCTGAATCTTTGAAGTGTACGTCTCTTCTCCATGAAAACCGTTCTATGCTCTTGACTCTACTTGTTCTTTTGGCTGTTTACCTTGAAGAAAGAAAATTGACATGACTAGTATTACAGAAAATAGAAAGGATTTAATCGACATTTTAGAGGACCGACACTGCCTCACGTATTGTGTAATTGTACATGTCTGGGGTGATGACTACGCAAGTTCAAATTTAGAAGACCTTTGGGACATGTGCAAGGTAAACATTTGAAGAAATCGATTGGTTCTAAAAAAAATAGGTCTTATTTTGTCTTTTCATTTGTATATTTTGTTGGTTTTTTTACTCGTCTGGCTAGAGATATCTGCAGATTGAAATAGAAATATAAACAGTCTTCTGTTAGAATATTTATGTGACACATGTTTTTTATTTGTTTTCAATGTTTTCAGGATTTACTGTGGAACAATCGATTTTGCCCTGAAATATGTGATGAAGAAGGCCGTGCCAAGGGTTGAGTGAATGTATCATGTTTTTTCACTGAAGATGACCAGAATGAAGGCCAATATGCATTTGAATGTGGACTCCATGAGTAAGATTATGATCAATCGAAACACAGTGCTGCTTATGCTATGAAAGGTGAATCAGTACTGACAATTTGGCAAGAACATCCACCTCACAACTGCGAACATTGTTTTTGACGTCATTGAGGGATTTTTTTATGCAATTGTTCGCAACTTTCCCAGGGGTAAATTTATGTCAGGTGCATAGCAGCGGGAAGAGAATGACATCATGGAATATTGATAGATCAACTGGTTTAATTCGGTTTTGGAATGGAAATATATAAACCCCTTGATTTCTGAAAGTTCATCACTTCATCCCTGATTTCACAGACGACATCAAGCTATACATCTCTTGGTCTCTCTCTTTTGGTTGTTTTTCTTGAAGACAGAAAATGGAAGCAGTTCACTGTGATATTCTCAGGAAGAATCGCTCTGACCTCATAACTATACAGCGTGTAGAAGACATGGTTGACAAACTGGTACAGTTTGTAGTCCTTACTATCTTCATGAAGGCTGAAATTATTGAAAAACCACAAACCTCCTTTGACCGTGTCAGAACTGTTGCCCATCTTACCTAGACGTGGACCCCAAGCTTACACCCTCTTCTGTAAAGCTTTGGAGGAATGTGGAGAGACAAAAGCCATGAAATTGCTGGGTCTGGAGACTCCAGATCCTACTGTCAAGCCAGGATCCTCGTTGTCATTTGGACTTGGGAGCTGATGTATGCAGACACCAAGACCTGTGTATGAACAATACCCCCCTTCTGATGAAGCCTTAAACTAGGTTCCAAGAACGGTTGAATTCCTTTGAGTCTTGGCCTGTGCAGATGAGTCCTAGCCAAATGGCCCAGGCAGGATTTGTGTACTTAATCAGATGGGACGCTTGCAAGTGTTTTCAATGTGGTCTCGTTCTAAGAACTGGGAAGTAGATGATGATCCCTGGGTCGAACATGAAAAGTGGTCTCCAGACTGTCCATATTTGGAGGTCCATAACAACCAAAGTGAAAGAGATTCAGGTTGAGAGAGAACGCCCTCATTCAATCAGTCAGAGCAACCGTGTATACAAAATTCAAGTGACCCTACATGTTCATCGATTTGCTATTGAAATGCCCTGAATAAATATGGTTTGTGAATGGGGCAGGCGGGCTGACAGGCTGACAATACTAACAATAGCGCGAGACATTATTCATTGCCGAGGCACATGCAGAGCTGACAATACTGTTTAGCTAACAATAGAGCGAGACGTTATTCATTGCTGAGGCAAATGCAGAGCTGACAATACTGTTTAGCTAACAATAGAGTGAGACGTTATTCATTGTTGAGGCACATGCAGAGCTGACATTACTGTTTAGCTAACAATAGAGCGAGACGTTATTCATTGCTGAGGCACATGCAGAGCTGACAATACTGTTTAGCTAACAATTGAGCGAGACGTTATTCATTGCTGAGGCACATGCAGAGCTGACAATACTGTTTAGCTAACAATAGAGCAGGACACGTTGGGTTGTTCCATTGCATAGGCTAGGGATTACAGCTCGGTCAGCACAATACCCTTTCAAGCATCTATAGAAACTGACTTCACCATCAAGTACTTTTAAGAATCATGTATTTCTCCACAGAGTTGTGTTGTTGCGCTTAATTTAAACACTTCACATCAAGAATTATTGTATGCAATAATTACTACATAATACATATTCTATTGTGTTTCTCCGCATACTGTAGACAGAAACTAGTCCTGATGTGATATCATAGGTTCCAGAAGTTTCTGTGTAATGAGGTGACACGCATACGTGATGAGGTCAGTACAAGGCAGCACACACACCTACATAATGAGGTCATGCTTCTAGGTGATTCCTTACCTCTGCATAATGAGGTCCAGGTGTTAAATTAGGTCACACGGGTGTTTGATTAAAAACACAAAATGGACGACATTGGGACTCACTACCTCTGGTAACAACGGAGACATGTTGTATCCATAATACAGGTATGTATTCTACAATGTGGCTAGTGGAACGTGTCAAGTAACCTTGATTTAATTTTTTTTTCCTTTTCTATTTCTTAAAATTATTCGTTTTCAAAACATCAAAAGTGGCACGTAAGTTATGTTTATTTGCATTGGTGTCTTGTCTGTCAGTTTCAACGGCTGAAACCTAAATACAGCAGAGGCTCTATATATGGGCATTAGTCCCGGAAACTGCATTCTGCATCGCACCACCTTCTGTTCACACCCCAGCAGGCAAGACTCTGTTCTAGGTAAAGCAAGCCCTCTCTTTATCATTTTTAGGGGGGCTTCAGCTCCCATCCTATCTTCTTGTATAATTGGGATTAAATTATTAAAAAATGCTTCTCTTACATTCAATAGTGAGTGAGTATGGTTTTACTCTGCTTTTAGCAATATTTGATAAAGGAAATGTTTTGCTCAAAACATGGGCTTGATGTTTAAAAAACAGTTGAATTATGCGTCGTGATACATGCATAAAAACATATGTGTTTTTTCAAAACCTAAAAAATTTGTTTGGACTACGGTGAATTTTCTGGCCCATTCTTGGTATAACATTCTGTAATAAAAAGATTGAAGATTTGTCTCCATCACTCTATTGTTCCGTATCTATGAATGCACCTGCCAAATTGTCTCCTGCCTTACTACACGGTGCGTCCTAATAGTCCTACTTGAGTGTGACAAAGTTAAACTGGGACGGTGTGTCATTGTATGCAGCTGCACGAAACAAGGTTGTCTTCTAGTTTACGAAAACAATGTATCCTTCGATCAATGACTAATTTCAATACTCAAAACTCAAATGTTATTTCATAAGGGATGCAGCATTCAAGGCCATATTTAACCCATGCATGCCATGTTTATACAGTGTGGTTGTATGTATTTCTAGTGTTTTTATAACTTGATATAACTGTCTCAAAGGGCGCTTGTTATCTACTCCCCAAGTTCGAGTTTTGGTATTGAGTCACATACTGAACGTTATGATGTCAGGATAACACCCTTTATCTCAACGATAAACCTGTTTTCAGGCAAACAGGAGTATATCATTACATTGATCATTTACATGAAGCTGCAAACTGTGATCAATTATATCAAGTTGATTGATTTCACAATCGCCATTTTATGGAAATATTCCTCATGAGATTTGCATAAAAATTTCATCTATCAGTCAGATTCAACACAACCACCTCTTTATTCGAGAAGATGTCGGACTACTCAAAGAAGATGATGAACCATATCGGTGGTGCAGGTGTCATGTCCTGCTTGTCTCTTGCGCGGGAACTGGGAGTGGTAGATGTGCTGATGGAAGCCAAACAGCCTCTTACATCACAGCAAGTGGCTGACAAGCTAAACCTTAGAGAAAGGTATTGTGGCAATTTCATAGTGGAAACGGTGACTTAACCAGCAATCTGTCAATAAAATACATCGTTGTGAAACCAACAATCAAACTACATACGTTAAAGACAAAGTTATACATTTTACAATTCACAATTGTACTCTAGATATAACTAAAATTACAAATCAATACACATTACTACAAGGAAATTACAATCGCAGAAAAATAGAGCTGCAGTACAAACACAATGTCAATATACTGTATACTCACTCCTGCCCTTTACTGGATCTAACAAGCAGCAACGCACTGCAATAACAACACTGTTTCACAATGAATAACACTGCCACATGCCTCGAAGACGCGGTGACAAACTAGCAACAACATTGATAGACACATTGATAGATTGGACCCATCTCACACACTTACTGTTCTGCTCAGGGGTGAAACAACTGTTGCGATAGCGATAGTATATTGCAACATACTACTGCGATAGGGATAGTCTATTGTCACAAACTATTGCAATAGTTTTTCTCTCCTTGAATTGTCTCATTTGAAGTTATTTCCCAAATGAATGTTTAGTTTATATGAAATAAAAACAAGCTGAAGTAGCTTCAGTCTCTTTTAATAACTGACAAGAGACCTGAAACCCAGATCAAGTTTGTTTAAGAGGTAACAGGGGCGGATAACTCTAAATCAGAGTGAACGAATCTTGTACTTCTTGTATTTTGTGCTGCGCATTGATCAGCTGAAGTCAATTACTAATCTATCGATAGTCACACATACTATCGACTCAACAGTTACAGCCCTAGTTCTGATCATGTACTGAAGAAACGGTGATAAACATCATTTATAGACACATTGATAGAAATATGATTTTTCTTCACATATATTGCAGAAGCAATCACAAACAGCATATACAGACACATTGATAGATTGGACCAGTTTCAAACATTTTCTTTTCTGCCCCTATTATAGTTTGACCTCAAGGTGACCGATACCATTAGAACCAGGTTACTGCCAGAACGCATTCATATAGACAATGGGAAGGGTACTGTTCTGACTATCAACTTTATACTATTACAGGACTATATATCATGAGCCTTTAGCATCACTGCACTAAATGAATGTATGGGGTTTTTTCAAAGGTATGTCCGTGAGATCCTGGGTTCCCTGTCTGTCGGAGAAGTCATCAGTGTGGACGACACGTCCACCAAGTTCCATGTTCCAGAGGATCACAAACAAACATTAGTGGCAGTGTCGGTATTTTCCAGACTTATTCCCCAGTTTGGTATGAGATATAATAATGTCAAGGCTTGTGCTCAACAACGGAACCCTGGCGGTAAGTCATGGCATATTCACCTGTGAAATTAATTTCATCTGTATGATGCTCAGAACATTATGTGCGTTTTAGTTTCCAGTCATGAGTAGTAAGACAATTATCATGAAACACAGAGGGACTTCTGTATATATAAACTGTCCTATAGTTATCAACATGTAGAAATTATTCAAGTTCATGAAATAATTGTAGCTACTGTTACCGAACTTCATCTTCTCATAATAAACAATATGGCAAAATAGTCATTTTATGTCCTTCACAAGGCGCTAATAACCATGACACACCCATTCACGTTGTGTCTATATGTTCGTTATCCTCACTATTTAGTCAATCTTTTCAAAATTCCTTTTAATTATAATATGTTAGGCAGATATAAATTAGATATTTTAGGTCCAGTATAGAGATAAAGATTCAGAGTGACAGAAAACCCAAATATGTAACACTGATTCAAAGTAAAGTCAAAATCAAAGCGTTTATTGCATGAAAGGTCATTGGCCTATATAAAAATCATAGATACAATATGTGAACATATTCATTTTGCTGTAGATCTAATCATTCATTCAATTATTTAAAACATAGATATTAACATTCAGTAAGCTGGTAGAATAATCATACAATAGAATTTCTTAGTTTCAGTGCGTGATGTACATGCAATGCAAGATCAGACAAAATTGCTTCATTTTGTAGCCAAGAGATTAGCAAAAACGGTATAACTGACATGATTAGGACAATAATGTTCGCCAAGATATTTTTTTCGCAGTAACTTAAAAGTTGGGCATAAAAATATAAAATGGTATTCATCTTCAATTCCAGAACTACACAAAGGGCATAATCGTAGACATTTCTAAATCATAATTTCTACCTTCATTGATCATTAGATTTGTAAGACCAAGTCTAAATCGAACAACTCAAATATTTTTAGCTTGAAGACAGGATAAATAATTTTTCAGGTTCTAAGGTATCTTTAAAATAGACGTAGGAGGCATAACGTGAACTGTCACTTAAAGTAGATATCCAGTCTTGCCGAAAGTTATCAGTCCAAAGTTGTCGAAAATCGGTGATAAACATATTTACATTTTCCACAGATTGTGAGAGCCATATATATCCAAAACCAAGTGAGAAAATTAACATATGGATGTGAAAAGCCCAATTGACTTTACCAAGATTATCTAAGTGCAATAGCATATTGTAAGCACGTTTGGGAAGGCGATGTGCTGGCATTCTTAAAATTCTAATCCAGAATCGAATACATTTTACGTTAGTAATCAGTGTAGAGAGTAGCGTCCACATTATCCATATACCATGGCATTTGGTGTAGACAATCCAACATTTAAAAACCTTTTACAAGCATGTAAGCGTACCTTTTCTAAAACATCTAATCTAATCTATCCCCAAATTTCTGAACAATAAGTAAGAATAGGAAGGATTTGTGTATCGAATAGTATGAAAAACAAATAGGATGGCACCATCCCTAATTTATTAGTTACAGCGAAAACACGCAAGAGAGCCCTTTTTGCCCTAAATGAAAGATCGAATGCAGATTTCTTTACATTCATTGTACTGTTAAAGAGCAAACCAAGATATTTATGATCTTTAGCTATAGAAATACTTTTTCCTTTGTAAAACCTGATTTCTTTTGCAGAGAGGGGCCCACCTCTACGAAATACAACAATTTTAGTTTTGTTCATATTAACAGCAAAACCACATTCGTCACTATAAGAGGCTAAAATATTTATTTGATTTTATAATCTAACAACTGTATCAGAAACTAATATCACTATGTCAGGAAACAGTTGAATGCCATGTTTGCCTGATTCTTGTATTTTATAAGACAATTCATTAATAAAGAATGAGAAAAGAATCGAACTAAGAACACAACCTTGTCTAATTCCAACAGGACAAGAAAAGAAATCAGTTAGGCCATCTTGATAGTTAAACACAAAATATCAAGTAAGAATACATAGACTTAACCATTCTGTACGTTTTGCCGTTTAAACCAAGTTTTCTAAGACATTCAAGCAAATTGACATGGTCCACAGAGTCAAATGCTTTCTTAAAATCAACAAATGCTATATACAATTTATGTTTACGAAATAACAGTTCTTTTGTGATAATGGTGTAAAACGTAAATAAATGGTCTTGAGTGGAATAATCTTTCCGAAACCCAGCTTGTGTTTCAGGAATAATATTTCTTATGTTAGACGCATAGTAAGTCTGGAATTCACAATACTTGCAAAAACCTTTGCTAAAATACTAATTATCGAAATGCCTCTATAGTTGTCAGGATCTTTGCTGTTACTACTTTTGTGTATAGTTGTGATGACAGATTTAGCCCAAATAGTTGGGTACACGCCTCTGTCAACATGTAGACCGACTTTATTACGAGCAAATTCAAGCAGCTCCAGCCTTAAAATATGATGTCTGTATTGCGCAATGTTTGTGCTACAATCTGTGAAGATGTCAGTATTGTTATATAACTCATACTCAAAAGTCATTTCATAAGGGATGCAACATTCAAGGCTAATGTAAGCTTTCAAAAAAGTTTTATTATTTGGAAATTTGCAATTCAATTCAATTCAATTCTTTATTCTCATAAACCACCTTGGTGGTACAAGAGCATATATTGTAAACATATACAAATACAAATTCAAATTCAAGATGGAAGTAAACAACATATTAACATTGTTTTCTGTCAAGAGATGATAGATGTAGGATATATTTTGATAGATTTACTATGTCTCGAGATGTTTTTACAGATAATATTTTCGTGAACTTTGTTTCATTGGGAAAAGAGGTTAGATGGGAGGGTAAATATTGTTTCCTCAAAGTATCTAATGCTTTGTAATGAAAAATAAAGTGGTAATTATCTGCGATGCTTTTAGAAGTGCATAGTTGACACGTTCTAGTTGCAGTGTGACGGTGATAAAATTGGTTTGCCGTTTCATCTTTCTGCGAACCCCGTTTATCATCACTATTAGAAGGACCCGTAAAGATCTTGCTTCAGCAACGAATCCTTCTCCTAAGGGGCAACCAACAGGGTCAGTTTCGGTGACTCAGTTGATGCATGTCCTCTCATCCCATTCTTGACGGCAGTCCAGGGATGTTCTTATTCAGACTCGATTACAGACCGTCTTCAGTTAGCTGGAATATTGCTTATGTGATGGGGGTTCAGAATATTATTCTCAAGATATAGTCTAATTCCTACAATGGACGGTGCTTTTAGAGATTTCAAAGGATTACAGAAATCATTTTGATGCTTTTAATTTACATATCTGCGTAAAACCATAAATACGTTAAGCTTCTGTGTTTGCGCGCATGTGCAATATGTGAAAATGTATTTGTTAATATGTCTTTCTAATGGCACAATTTCCTATTTACAGGAATGGTCTACAGCGAAAGCCCCGAGATGTTTGACATATTGAAAGAAATTTTGGTGACAGTCAAGAAAGATATGGTTGATACGGACATCCTGCCTGCCATTCCTCAGATCGCGCAAAGGTTAGGTAGGTAAATGAAATAGAATAATTAAAGTACTGGAAACGACTCAACCAATTCCGATCACAATTACACAATAGTTGTGCCATGCACAAGCGCTGTGTTTTGCATTTTTGGACAGAATTTGGAAACCTTATCTTCACACAATGTCCAATGTTTGTTTCTAAGTTTACTACCGACAAAAGGGGAACTGATGAAACGGTAGTGAAGGTATAATGGTCATTGATGATAAAACAACTGTAAAATGTATTTGAGCGTGTAGATCAATATATAGTGTGCCCGCGTGCACGATACTTAGACATCAAACTGTTGGCAAATTTTCGCTTGTCCACCATGTGCTGTTCATGCCCGATGTCAAATTTCTTTGGACTTAGACGTCACGTTAAGATGCAACGTTTAATGGTTGTATACCACAATGATAGCTCCATTTAGATACTTCGAAAGATTAGTTCTTACAGGCATGGGAAGGGTACATATACCTCTCTAAATGACGTCTGACCTTATCTCATTTCAATTACAGAATCTGGGATCAAAGTTGCGGAATTTGGCTGCGCAACAGGAGTCATCATAAACACATTAGCCTCTCGATTCAAGACCAGCACCTTCCTTGGTTCGGACGTAGCAAACGAGCCACTGGAAGAAGCCAGAGCAGATGCAAATAGCCGTGGTATTCAGAATATCACTTATAGCACTGACAATATTGACACCATATCTGATAAATACAACGAGAGTTTTGACTGGATACTAACCCGCGATGTTATTCACGACCTAACGTATCCACAGCAAGCTTTAAACCAGATCTATCGGTGTCTGAAACCAGAAGGTATTTTCAGCTTGATTGACGTCGGGATAGAGGGAGGAATTGCTGGCAACATTGGAAATGCTACATCTATGTTTTACTACTCGGGAAGCACATTTATGTGCATCCCAGAGAGCTTCCGCCAGCCTGACGCTGCAGCGCTTGGGGCAACATGGGGTGCACCTTTGGCAAGAGAGATGGTTGCCAAAGCTGGTTTCACCATCATAAACGAGTCTACAAGTCGCACTGATGAGAAGGAGGTCCACTTTGTCTGCCAGAAGTAGCTTTGGTACACGATGGGTGGTGTTTTCATCCTATGGACACTCTTGACGTACATTTATGATGCTTTGACCTATTTAGAAAAAAGTCAAGCAACGTTTTCCAGATATGTCAATGCTGCATTTTATATCAGGATATGATTCCAAACAATGTAAAGAGATTAAGCATTAATGTTCTACTTAATACACAGAGAGCTTGAGCTTTTTATATCTGTCTTCATGGATGTATACTTATTTCTGACTTTATAGTTGAGCTTTTACTGTACTGCCTCACTGATGGTACCACAATTTGCTGGCCTGCTTACAACACACATTTCAAAACACAGGCCAATTAATCATCTCGAGAATGTTGCCTTTCATGTACAATTCCCCTTTTTTCTTACTATTTTTATGGGTCATGGACAGTGTGGTTATGTCGCCATATTTTATATGCGGTGTCTTTTTTGTTTTAGCTTTTGAAAGCTGGGTATCTTTTTAACACGTACACACATACCGCTTTATCAATGAACTTATCCTGTTCGTTTAACACATCACGCACTCATTTTTATAATAATCCTTTCAGAATACTCCCGAGAGAGTGTTACCCTATACGTATGGTTACTTAAGGGAATGTAACACTTCGACTAATCGCCTTTTCACAAGGGAAGTATATTCACACAACACTTCACATACTCATCTTTATTTTAAATCATTGTATCCCAAGTGCGTAGGTCGATGCAGACTGCCGCCATATAGCGAGAATATTGCTGAGTGTGGCATTAAACAAACAACAAATGGTGAACCCTTTCGTAACACAAGAGAGAATATAACCCTACACTTACGTAAGCCTTACATTACCTCATCTTCATATCCACATCACTCTATTAACTCTTTTGAGTGCTTGTGCTGGGGATAAGTAATGTAATGTTAAGATATGGAATCAGGAAATCGGATGTCCTAACGCTCTCTTATTAATCGATATTTGGTATCTTACACCTGTATATTACGTCAAGTTACGGGTAGCCTAGTGGTTAAAGCGTTTGCTCGTCACGCCAAATACCGGATAAAGCGTTTGCTCGTCACGCCAAATACCCGGATTTGATTCCCCACGTGGGTACGTACAATGTGTGAAGCCTTTTCTGGTGTCCCTCGCCATGATATTGCTGGAATATTGCGTGGAACTAAACTCACGTCAAGTTACGCGTGTCAGAGGTTGTTGTTGTAGACATGCATTACAAATTCTGTCTTTCCTTTTTTTAATTTCACGCCTCCGTGGTAGAGTTGTTAGCAGTAAAGACGAGTGACTGACGCCGTTGAGGCCCCCTACAGGACAAAGATATATAAGACGGATCAGTCAACCAGTCCTTATTTTTAAATACTGAAAGGACTCGGGCCTATGATGATTCAATTTGTCTGGACAGTCAAATGTACGTAGTTAAGTTAATCCAGGGTACTTCTATAATTCATTAAATAAAATGCCTATGCTGTAACACGTTTAATATATTCATTTTCAGTAGATATTACTTGAATATCAATGTATAATTAGTGTTCTGTACATATAAGAACACAAGTGTATTACACAAATGAATATTACGAACAAATATTTGTATTTGGTGTTGGTCACAAAGTTTACATACTCTTGATCCGTTTGGTATTTTTGTGACAAAGATAAATAACACGGAACAGTCAATCAGTCTTTATTTTCAAATACTGAGAGGCATCATGTGTATTGTGCAAATCGTATGGACAGTGAAATATACATTGTACATGGTTCAGTTAATCCTGGGTATTTCTATAATTCATTGAATGAAAGGTCCTAGCTGTAACAGGTTTAATACATTAATATTTAGACATTATTTGATAGATAGTTCTGTACATATAAGGACACATGTTGTTTTACACAAGTGATCTAAAATGAAAAGAAAAACATTATTTGGTGTTGATGACAAAGTTTATACAATCGGTTTCATTTGATATTTTTGTGCAATTTCCTTGTTCATTCTCAAGGCCATGAGAAGTTGGGAAAAGGATTGTCTAAATTTGTAGAGAAGTGATTTTAAAGGGTACTCTTTGGTTTGGAATTTGGCTGGAACGTTGCCTAGTTGAGGTATCTCGTTCCATTTCTGAATGTACAGACCCTACAGGTTTGAGTGAACATCGGAATAAAATTATCAATATAATCTGCAGTTTGAGTTTTTCATGCATACCCCAAACCAGTTTCCTGACAATGTTATTAATAGACGGTACCCAGTTTACCCACATGCATTGTAATATAGTTGGGATCTCTGTGAGAAGGCATTTGCAATAATACCAACCAAAACCTAATCATTTGTAACTGTACTTTCACAAATATAGAGAATCTACTATTTTACCTTAAGGCATTTGAAGTGTTGGTTTTCAGCACCGCTCCCTTCCCAAATCGCTTACACATACAAGTTTGTACTCGTTCAATAGCAGCTAACTTACTCACACCCATCCCTCATTGCTATATAACAGAATCGAATTTTGTTTTTGCTTTAAATATTTGTAAAAGACATCAACCTTTATATCAACCACATCGTTCATATTTTTTAAATAAAGAAGATCTTTATCGCTTGTGTTACAGTTTATGATTCACAAAAACTCCAAGACATTTTAGTTCAGAAATAAACACCTCCGAATACTTGTATTTAGTAGCTATGTCAAGAGCCTTATTTCTATGAAACCATTTTCCTCATTTAAGTTTAGATATATCACAGCAATATATAAAAAATATCTACCATCGTTTGTTTTCATGAAAGTTAAACATGATTGTACATAAGACTTCAACAAACAATTGTCTCTGGATCCTAGAAATCATTACACTACTTTTAATAGCAAATAGGAAGAGGAATTGTGTTTAAATATCTTGATGTAATTGCATACCATCTTGACAATTACCTTCCGTTTTCAGGACTAACTGATAAAAAACAGGAACTTAGAATAACACTCCGTTACTACCTTCAAATTCATCAATTCAAAGAATCACCAATTCGAGAGTGATCTGTACATAATCAGTTATACCTTATATCATGACGCGTAGATTGATGTCTCGTGATGTAAATCACTGGATTGACACGGGTATTGTACAAACCGCCGTCGTCGTATAGCTGGAATATTGATGAGTGTGGCGTTTAGCAGCAAACAGACTAAGTATCATGACGTGTTCGGGCCCTTTCAAGCATTTTTGAAGACACAATACCCACTGCAAAGTAACAAAGATACAACATGTAAATTAGTATGAATTTTGTGCTGATGTGTGCGTGCACGCACGCATGCGTGTGTGTGTGTGTGTGTGTGAGAGAGAGAGAGAGAGAGAGAGAGCAATATTCGTCTTTAGGCTCTTTCGTTCATTAACCCCTGTCGCGAGTTAGCGCGAAGCTGGGGATATAGTATTAGGCTCCGTCCGTACGTACGTACGTACGAATTGGAATATCTTAAGAACCATTGACTGGATTCTTTTCATACTTGGTACAAGTTCATCACAGTATAAGAAAGGTCCAGTCATGTTTGGTGACCTTGACCATATTTTGAAGGTCACCAGGGGACTTTAACGTTTTACCCTTGTCAGTGAAATATCCAAAGAACCGTTCACTGGATTTGACACCAAGCTTCATATAGGGAAGGCGCAGGGCCCAGCCGATTTTACGTGACCTTCATATAATTTTCAAGGTGTTTGAAATGAATGTCCATCTATGTTTGATGAATATGTAAGATGTGTCCAAAGATTGCAACTCAATAAGTACGTGGTATAGACAAGCATACAATATTTCCTTATTTCTAGATTCTTTATATTCCATTATTGTAGCTTTTAGTCAACTTTAGTCAATATATTGTCACAACATGGAATAAGAACACAATGCAGGAATGGATTAAGAATAACCTTATCAGATAGATATGGCAATCAATATCGTAAAGGCACAATGTCACACATTTTAGACAATATTTTGGCCTATATTGTATAGATTGGGGCATATGCACTCACTTCAGCTTCCTATTGGTGCAATAAAAAAGACTTATTATCCCTTACGGCTTGCCTGAAATAGATGATTGAAACTTCGAGGCGAATAGCTTCCAAACAGAAAACTTGCTACATATCTAATGTAAACAATTTCTCCGTGCATCGAAAACAGTCCCACGCAGTGTTGTCGGTGTTTACCGAACTGGTTTCAATCAGAACTTCATATTCGTAAAGAGCTCTCCAAGGGACATAAGTCAATGGAGTTCGCTTGAAATATCGTTCGGCCGGTAGCCTGACTGACTGAGTTTGGTTTTACGTCGCTTTTAGCAATATTCCAGCAATATCACGGCGGGGGACACCAGAAATGGGCTTCACACATTGTGCCCATGTGGGGATTCGAACCCGGGTCTTCGGCGTGACGAGCCAACGCTTTAACCATTAGGCTACCCCACCGCCCCGTTCGGCCGGTAGAGGGTGCGAGAGTAGATTAATGCAACGTTGCATTAATTCATTCGAACTTTTCTAATTTAATATTGTAATGTAAATACGTATTTTTTAAAAAGTAAATAATACGGTAGTTTCCCTGAGGGGTGGTAGTTAGTATTATTGAGAGACATGCATTATTTATGTTTACAGAAGTGTGGTGTGATATAGTGCCTTTAACAGTTTACGCAATCGCACCTGATCAGCTGAGTCCACTAACTACTGATTGCTATCTCCACTAACGCAACTGGAATGGTGTTTCTTTGCAAAATTTCAGCGACCAAAATCATGTGGCAAGTGTTCCTGAATGTTGATCCAGCCTTGTCAAAACTGCCCTTGAACCAGGTCATCTGGTTCTTATAGGGGATTTGGGGCGTTGGCCCATGGGGTAGCCTAGTGGTTAAAGCGTTCGCTCGTCATGCCGAAGACACGGGTTCGATTCCCCACATGGGTACAATGTGTGAAACCCATTTCTAGTGTCCCCCACCGTGATATTGCTGGAATATTGCTATAAGCGGTGTAAAACCATACTCACCCGATCACTTTAATATGGGATTTCAATATCCATGTTGATTCTCTGTATGACTCCTTTGCTAAATCCTTTTGTGACATCTTTCAGTCTCCTACAGCACGTGTCTGGTCCAACTCAACGATCAGGTCATACACTAGAACTAGTCATAACCAAGGTAGTTGTGATATTCTGGATGTCGATGATGTTAGTGACAAACAGATATCTGATCATTCCCGTATTCAGTGCTCCGTCAAACTCACTAAACCTAAGAAGGAGCGAAAAGAAATTGTCAACAGGAAGACTTGAAATATAAACATAAGGCAGTTTTCTAGTGACATTGAATTAAGTATCTCTCTCTGATTCTTGTTGAGTTCATGATAAGACTTATGTGTTAACTACTTGCTCATCACGAATACTGAATAAGCATACTCCTCTAATGTCCAGTTCTGCTGCCATTTGTTCTCACTGTGGCTGGTATAACGATTGTGCCCGCAAGCAGAAACAGATATGCTGAAAAACAATGGCGTCGATCAAAATTGGAAATTCATCGACAGCTCTTCACAACTGCCTGGAATAAAGTCAATAAAGCTTTAGCAGCAGCCAAACGAGCATTTGTATGCACCTCGATAGAACGCAACTGCAGCAATTTCAAGGAATTATATTCCTTGTTGAACAGCCTCTTGAAGTGGGATACAAATTGTACTCAAAGCCAACAGATTTGCAGATTCTTTCCACGCCAAGATATGGGATTTTCGGCAAGAACTTATCATTAGACGTACACAGGTAGTATCCAAAGCTAAAGCAACTTCTAACCTGGAAGCCCTATTAACATGGTTGTTTAAAGCAAGTTTGGATTCTCTCTTCAGCCCATTATCCAACGTGGTCAACAGCGCATTGAGGGATGCCACGGTTCCTAAAGTTTTCAAAGAGGCAGTTGTCTCTCCTCCCATTTAAAAGGCCAATTTAAATCCAAATGAGTTACAAAAAACACTACTAGCCAGTATCTAATCTGTCTTTGATTTCAAAATGTTTGGAGAAAATTGTTTCACGAAGGCTTGAAGAGCGAGTGCAATTCATTCAAGTTCACTCATGTCTGAAAAACATCGTCCGTTATCACGGACGATGCCTTTCCTGCTATTGAATGTTCTGCGAAGGGACACCTCCACAGGAACATTTGCTAAGGATTTTGTTTTGAGAAGAATGATTTGATTTGAACTTTTTGAGGCTTCATCCTCTGAAAACAACGTTTTTTGAGTGGGGTTGCCACGGTAAATATATGATTCAGCCTCCAAGCTCCACACCCACCATGGAGAGTCAACCATGACGATGTCTCAGTATCTGTGGGTCTCCAACAGTCGAAACCAGATACCGGGTGGGTGTACTCAAGCAGGTAAATATCTTTGACAGAATCGGGCCCATTCTACCACCCGTCTAGGTGACGTCATGGCCGAAGTGGTGTGTTGGGCAAAGGAACGCTGTTCCTAGGACCAGTGCCCTCAACCAACGGAATCTCTTCCTTCAACCCACGGCAAACAGGCTGCCCAAATTGGTCGCCTGTTACGACCTGCAATGGGGTGCTGTGGACACATTCTACCCCGGGTCCACACGGGGGCGAAGATCTATTAGCGTTACCCAGCAGTAAAAAACTTTAAAAGATACTTTTTTTGCATTGTTACATACTAGGGATGGTGAAGAAAACAATGGCCAAGAAAAACGGTGTCGAAATATATGCGGATGCACTACATTAAACTCCTACAAGTGCCATCAAGGAGACGAGGCTGAAGGAGCAGGTCCGGATGTACGAGTAACATCATCAGCTGGGTACAGAGTGTATTCCACTATTATATAACCTCCGAGAAGACATGGTGTATCTATAATACTGGTATGTATTCTACCAGGTGGTTAGTGTAGGTACACATGTACACAATACATATTCACAACTGTATCTCCTCCACTTTGAAACAATGAGTCATAATTTGCATGTGACTGCACAGAGCATTCAATTTGAACGTTTGTGGGTTTCATCATCATTGTCATCATCATCATCATCTTTATTTCCTCCAAGTGTGGAGATTACAAGTAAATGTGAACATGAAATTATGTACATATTTATCTGTATATTTATATATCAGTTCATGTGGTTATAAGGAAGGGTATATGAAATGGGGAAACAGTCTTTGACGAGTAAGACGTCACACGTCACATGAGGTCTGGTGTACTTTATCACAGTGTGTTGTACACCGAGGCGGAGGCCATCAGGAAGCTGGATGTGAGCCTCAAGAACTCACTACGGCAGGATGAGTCTAGGTCGGTGGGCAGTGGCGTCCCCATTATGTAGAGCAGGAGTTGCCCGTCATCACAGGCGTTCAACATGACGTGCAGGTTGATGGGGTAGACGTCAGAGACGATTGCCCACAAAATATCCCTTAGTCTAAGGATCTGTAGATGGGTGCAGGATGTCGCAATGTTTTGGATGAGGTCCGTATATGGCGTGTCACAGTGTTGGCAAAGACGCAGGAGATCTTGGGGCGGGGCTACCCACAGGCAGGAAAGGAAGTCAAGCTACGTGACGTAGCGTCTGCTCGAATATGGCTTTCGCTTTGAATCTTTGAGGATTAGCTGCTTGGTACGTGATCACGTATTTTGTAGGGTCGGTCAATCGGATAGACATTGTTAGCATTTAAAAAAGGAGTGAGTGAGTGAATTGAGTTTTACGCCGTACTCAGCAATATTCCAGGTATATGGCGGCCATAAAAATTTGGGCTGCCCGTCATCTATATCATGTACTAGAAATGCTAATTTGCCTGTTCTGCGCTTGATGTTGCCATGTGCTGTTTGTGCAATGTTTGATATATTTCATATGGTATGTTACATCTTGTGATTAATTATAGCGACACCAAATAAATTATGAAATGGCATGAAATGTCAAATATCAGTTTAGACTTATTTCATTTGCTTACCACTTCAACTTCATGTATCAAGCTTGTGCCTATAAAACATAGACTGAACTTTGTTCGAGATCACCAGGTCTTGAAGCTAATCCCCTCAAGCTCACTACTGTGTTTTTACAATTCTACTTCAGGAACAGCTCCAGCTGAGCTTGACAAAGTTAAACTGGGACAGTGTGTCATTGTATGCCCCTGCACAAAACAAGGTTGTCTCCTCTTTACGACTACCGTATATCCTGCGATCATTGACTCCACCTGACCAAGACGTATTTAAACCGCGCTTGTTATCTTCTCCCCAAGTTAACACAGTGAACGTCACAATGTAAGGTTACCAACCTGTATCTCGACGATAAACCTGTTTTCAGGCAAACAGGAGTATATCATTACATTGAACATTTATATGAAGCTACAACCTGTGATCAATCATATCAGCTTGACCGATCTCACATTGGCCTATTTTATGGGAAGATTCCTCATGAGATTTATATGACAATTTCATCTATCAGGCAGACTCAGCACAACCACCCCTATATTCGAGAAGATGTCGGACTACTCAAAGATGATGAAACATATCGGCGGCAGTGGTGTCATGTGCTGCTTGTCTCTGGCGCGGGAGCTAGGAATAGTGGACGTGCTGGTGGAAGCCAAACAGCCTCTTACATCACACCAAGTGGCTGACAAGCTAAACCTTAGAGAAAGGTATTGTGGCGATTTCAAAATGGAAACGTTGAGTTAATTAGAAACCTGTCAGTAAATTACAGCGTTGTGAAACCAAATATAAAAAAGGACATGAGTAAAAGACAAAGTCATATGCTTTAAAATAAACAATTGTATTCTAAACATAAGTAAGATTACAAATCTATAAACATTACTTCAAAGGAATTACAATCGCAGAATGAAATAGCGGCAGTACAAATACAAGGGCAATATTCTGTATTAAACGTCAAGCACATTCCTGCCCTTTACTGGGTCTAACAAGCGACCACGCACTGCAATAACAACACTGTTTCACACTGAATAACACTGCCACATGCCTTGACGACGCGACCGCCTCCGTGGTGTAGTGGTTAGAGCGTCCGCCCGGAGAGCGGAAGGTCGCGGGTTCGATCCCCGACCGCGTCATACCAAAAGACGTTAAAATATGGTACTTGTTGGTCCCTGTCTCGCGCTCGGCATTAATGGGTACAACAAGGACTGGTCGGCTCGGAGTCAGTATAATGTGTCTGAGTGGGGTATTCATGCTTCACTGCGGCATGGTATCTCAGTGGGCTAGCACTATAAAACCAGCTTCAGTCTGGGCTAGTACAAGCAGCCGCACATACACATACACACGCATGCACGGCGTCATATGAGCGAAATATTCTCAAGCACGACGTAAAACCCAATTCCACCACCACCACCACCACCTTGACGACGCGGTGACAAACTAGCAACAACACTGACAGGCACATCGGTAGATTGGACCCATTTTTCTGTTTTGCACATGTACTGAAGAAGTGGTGATAAAATCACATTTATAGACATTGAAAAATTGGACCCATCTCACATTTGATTGGCACATTGATAGATTGGTCCCATCTCAAACGGTGTCTGTCCAGCACATGTACTGAAGAAGCAGTGACAATCAACTTTTATAGACACATTGATAGATTGGACCCATCCCATAAAATATTTTTCTTCACATGTATTGCAGAAGCGGTCGCAAACAATATATACAGGCACATTGATATATTGGGCCCGTTTTCTTTTCTACCCCTATCATAGTTCTACTCACAACCGCCACATTACCAATACCATAAGATCCACTGACTACCAGAACGCGTTCATATAGACAATGGGAAGGGTATTGTTCCGAACATGGACTTTATACTATTACAGGACTATATATCATGAGCCTTTAGCATCACTGCACTAAATACATGTTCTAATGACATACATTGTATGTTTTTTCACAGGTATGTCCGTGAGATCCTGGGTTCCCTGTCTGTCGGAGAAGTCATCAGCGTGGACGACACGTCCACGGAGTTCCGTGTTCCAGAGGGTCACAAACGTACATTAGTGGCAATGTCGGTATTTTCCAGAATTATACCCCGGTTTGGTATGAGATATAATAAAGTTAAGGCTTGTGCTCAACAACGGAACCCTGGCGGTAAGGTCATGGCATATTCACATGTGGAAATATATCATCTGTATGATGCTCAGAAAATTGTGTGCGTATGTGCGTTTCTATTCCTAGACAGTAGTAAGTCAGTTAAGACATTTATCATGAAACACAGAGGGACTTCTGTATTTACAATGACCGAAATTTGTCGTTATGTAGAAATCATTAAAGTTCATGAAATAGTTATAACTATTGTTACCGAATTTAATCTTCTCATAATGAACAATATGACAAAATAGTTATTTTATGTCCTTCATAAGGCGCTAATAACCACGTTTCACTCATTGACGTTGTGTCTATATGTTCGTAATCATCAGTATGTAAGTAATGCTTTCGAAATACCATTTAATTATAATCTGATGGATGTTAGGCAGATATGAATAAGATATTTTAGGTTCAGTATAGAGATAAAGATTCAGAGTGATTTCAACATTTGTAGGGGTCCAATTACATAATCTCATTTTTTCCCTATTATTCCCAAGTTTATCGTTTCTGGTAGGTCCTGCAGACCGACTTTTTGACCAGCAAGTTAGACCAGCTCCAGCCGTAAAGTATGATGTCAGTATTTCGCAATGTCTGTGCTACAGTCTATGAAGATTCAATATTCGTTGTACAAATCAAACTGAAACGTTTTTGATTTAGAATGCAAAATTCAAGGCTAATGTAAACTTTCAAAAAAGGTTTGTTATTTGAAAATTCGCTCTGTGACAGGTGAACAATTGATTTGCCGTTGCATGTGACCTTTCTGCGAACCCCTTTTGTCATCACTATTTCAAAGATTCATATAGATCTCGGCTCAGCAAGGAAACCTTCTCGTAAGAGGCAACTAACACGATCAGTTTCGGTGACTCAATTGATGCATGTCCTCTCATCCTATTCTTGACGTCAGTCCAGGGATTGCTCAGACTCGATTACAGACCGTCTTCAATGAGCTGGTATATTTCTTAGCTCGACGGTAAACAAGAACAGCAACAACAACCACAATTATGTGATGGGGGTCAGAATAATATCCTCAAGATGTATTCTAATTACTACAATGGAAGGTGCTTTTAGAGTTTTCAAAGGAATGCAGAACTCGTTTGCTGCTGTTAATTTACAGGTCTGCGCAAAACCATACACGCCTTAAGCTTTAACTGTGTTTGCGCGTATGTGCAATATGTGAAAATGTATTTGTTAATATGTTTTTTTCTAATGACTCAATTTCCTATTTACAGGAATGGCCTTCAGCGCAAACCCCTGATATATTTGACATATTAAAAGAAGTTTTGGTGACAGTCAGGAAAGATATGGTGGATACGGACATCCTGCCTGCCATTCCTGAGATGGTGCAAAGGTTAGGTAGGTAAATGGAATAGAATAAGCAAAGAACTAGAAACGACTCCAACGCCACAACCATTTCAGATGACAACTACACAATAGTTTATAAAATTCGTCATGCACTGACAAAATCTGAAAACCTTTTCTTCACACAATGTCCAATGCCTGTTTCTAAGTTTACCGACAACAAAGTGGAAACTGATGAAATGGTAGTGAAGGTTTAATGACAATAAAAAGCTGTAAAATGTATTTGAGTGTGTAGATAAATGTATGGTGTGCCAACGTGCACAACACTTTGATATCAATTCATTGGCAGATTTTCGTTTGGCTGCTTGTCAGTTATGTGCTGTTGTTCATGCACGATGTAAAATTTCTTTGCACTCCGATGTCACATTAAGATGCAACGTATAATGGTTGTACACCACAATGATAGCTACATTTAGATATTTCAAAAAATTAGTTCTTATATTTTTCCTTGGTAGTTAATTTACTTCAAAAGGAAACCCAACTGAAGGTGTGTAGGCATGAAAATGGTACATATACCTCTCTAAATGACGTCTGACATTATGTCATTTCAATTACAGAATCAGGGATCAAAGTTGCGGAATTTGGCTGCGCAACAGGAGTCATTATGAACAAATTAGCCTCTCGATTCAAGAACAGCACCTTCCTCGGTTCGGACGTAGCAAGCAAGCCACTGGAAGAAGCCAGAGCAGATGCAAATAGCTGTGGCATTCAGAATATCACTTATAGCACTGACAATATTGACATCATATCTGATAAGTACAAGGAGAGTTTTGACTGGATACTTACTCGCAATGTTATTCACGACCTAACGTATCCACAGCAAGCCATAAACCAGATCTACCGGTGTCTGGAACCAGGAGGTATTTTCAGCTTGATTGAGGGCGGAATAGAGGGAGGAATTGCTGACAACATTGCAGTTGCTTCATCTATGTTCCACTTCTCGACAAGCACGTTTATGTGTATTCCGGAGAGCTTCAGCCAGTCTGACTCTGCAGAACTTGCGGCAAAATGGAGTGCACCTCTGGCAAGAGAGATTGTTGCCAAAGCTGGTTTCACCATCATAAACGAATCTACGAGCACTTATGAAGAGACCCACTTTGTCTGTCAGAAGTAGCTTTGGCACACGATGGGTGGTGTTTTCATCCCATGGATACCCTTGATGTGCATTAATGGTGCGTTGAGCTACTTAGAAGAAGTCGAGTTCCAGCAACGTTTTCCAAATATGTCAATGCTGCATTTTATATTCATGATTTCACACATTTCAAAAGACACGCTGACTTAGAGAAACTTCAGTTGGAAGCTGCCAGAATAGTTACGGGGCTTCCTAGATATACCTCACGGCAAATTCTATATTATGAGACCGGATGGGAAAGACTGGATGAACGAAGAAAAAGAAGAAAACTGTGTCTATTTTATAAAATTCAAAATATTTTAGCTCCTGTATACTTAAAAGATATTACTCCAGATAGTGTGGTATCAAGATCTAATTATAACCTTAGGAATGCTAACCATATTATCCTACCTTCTGCAAAGTTAAGACTTTCGTATGATTCCTTTTTTCCATCAACTGTAAGAATGTTGAATAATATTTCTGATACCGAAAAAAATCGACAAAGTCGTATTTAAAGTATTTAGCTCCATCATATCACTCGTTTGGAGTAAGAACATTTAATATTATACACACAATGATGAGATGTATGACTAGTCAGCTAAATTATAATCTGTGTCGTTTCAAAAGGAAATATTCTGCTTCTTGTTACTGGGGCAATGCTTGTGAAAATGTATATCACTTATATATATGTAAGAATGTGTATCAGAATGTAAACTGTACAACATTCAAAGAGAGATATTCATGTTAAATTTAAAAGGTATTGTAAAACGTGACTCTTCAGTCTCATTGTCATTAATGTTACTTGGAAGTCCTGATATGACTATTCAACAGAATGAATACGTTTTCAACTGTGTGGAAACCTTTATTCATCAATCAAATCGTTTGATCACATAAGTACGTAGTGTCCCTTCCTCTCTTCTCTCATTAACTTTCCTATCTCTTCTCTCTATTCATTCCTATGATGTATATATTTGAAAATGTATGTATGTAAATATTAAGGAGCGGGTATTTTAAGTTGAAAAACCTGTCCTCTATCCCTTTCAAATTTGTAAATAAAATATGCTTAAATCAAATCAATTAAATCAGACACCCTGATTGATCATCTCAATACTTTTTCCTTTGACAATCACGTTCGCCTTTCAAAATATTCCAAATTGAAAGAAAGTTGCCTTTCATGTAAAATTCCCATGTTTCTTACTGTCTTTATGGGTCATGCACAGTGTGGTTTTGTCGCCGTATTTTATATGAGGTGTCGTTTTGTTGTAGCTTTTGATTTTTTAAGTTGGCTATCTTTTCAACACATACACAAATACCGCTTCATCAATGAAGTTATTCTGTTCGTTTAACACATCACATACTCATCTTTGTAATGCTCCTTTCATAATACTCCCAAGAGAGTGTAACCATTACGTAAGGTTACGTAAGGGAATGTAATCCTTCCACTAATCCCCTTTTTACTGGGAAGTTATACTCATACAACACCTCACATAATCATTTTTATATTAAAGTGTTGAGATAGATGCCCATGCTCTCGATCACAACATTGTCCATACTCGATTATTTACAGACCGCCGCCATATAGCTAGAATATTGTTGAGTGTGGCGTTAAATAATAGTGAGTGAGTTTAGTTTTACGCTGCACTCAGCAATTTTCTGGCTATCTGGCGGCAGTCTGTAAGTAATCGAGTCCCGATCAGACAATCCAGGGATCAACGGCATGAACATCGATCTACGCAATTGGGATACGATGTGTCAACCCAGTCAGCGAGCCTGACCACCCGATCCTGTTAGTCGCCTCTTACAACAAGCATGGGTTACTGAAGATCAATTCTAACCCGGATGTTCACGGTTCGCGTTAAATAACGAACCAAATCTATTAAACCTTTCGTAATTCGTACAAGAGAGAATGTAACCCTACATTTAAGTAAGCCTTACATTACTTCGTCTTTATATCCACGTCACACTAATATCTCTTTTGGAATTTCAGTGCGTGTGCTGAGAAGAAATCATACGTAATTTTATAATATGGAATCAGGAAATTGGATGTTCTAATGCTGTCATATATATTGATATTGACTGTGTTACACCTGGGATACACCGTCACGATACCTAGGTAGCCTGATGGTTCGATTCCCCAAGTGGGTACAATGTGAGAAGCCCAGTGTCTATGATATTGCTGGAATATTGCAGAAAGCGGCATAAAACTAAAGTCACACACGTCAAGTTAGCGTGTCAGGGGTTGCTGTTGTATATTATGGTACCTCGTTCCATAACGTGACCCCCTGACACGCTAACTTGACGTGACCTCCTAACTTGACGTGACCTCCTTAACACCTCCATGGTAGAGTTGTTAGCAGCAAAGACGAGGTGACTTCCACAATCGAGGCCGTCTACAGGACAAAGAGAAATGACACGGATCAGTCAATCAGTCTCTATTTCCAAATACTGAACAAAGGCATCAGGTCTATAGTGCAAATCGTATGGAGAGGTAAATGTGCATTGTACATGGTTCAGTTAATCCAGGGCATTTCTATATAATTCATTCAGTGAAATGCCTTAGCAGTAACATGTTTGATACAGTAGTATTTTGACATTATTTGATAGATCAAAAAATATTTTGTGTTCTGTACACATAATGACACATGTTGTTTTACACAAATGATCTAAAATTAAATGAAAATAATTATTTGGTTTTGTGAAAAAGGTTACATACTCTGTTTCATTTGATATGTTTGTGCATCTTCCTTGCTCATTATCAAGGCCATGAGAAGTGGGAAAAAGGTTTGTCTAAATTTATAGAGAAGTAATTTTAAAGGGTACTCTTTGGTTTGTAATTGAACTGGAACATTGCCTAGTTGAGGTACCTCGTTCCATTTCTGAATGTACAAACCCTATAGGTTTGAGTGAATATCGGAATAAAATGATCAATATATTCCACGATTTGACTTTTTCATGCATACCCCAAACCGG